CTCGGGACTCCTTCCAAGAATTCTTTATAGGCCAAATAAGTACTTCACATGGTCTTATCGTCACAGGGTTTCACATTCGAAAGCTCTCATAGGTTACAGAGATAATTAATTAAATTAATTACCACCAGCTATAATCGAACCGTTAACCTCGTCTGTGAAGGGTTAGGTGCCTAGACCACTAGGCTATGGAACCCTAACCCTTTAATACAAATTGATTTACCACTTTTCTAATTACTTTTTTTCATATAAAATTTATTTTTTTAAAGCAATTTATATAACAATAATTGTTATATAATTTTATTATAAAATTTCTTGCAATTTTTGTTTCATATTAGGTGTATTAAAATAATTAAACAATTTAAGTATTGAATAACTAATAGTAAGTAAACCTAATTTTTCATCAAATAAACTAAAATTTTCTTTCCCAAGATAGTAAATAACAGAAGAAGGTAATATATGAGTAAAAATCAAATAACCACCATCTGAGATTGAAGAAAATAAATTATAACAAAGTTGAAAAAAAACTTTTACTGAAATATAAGAAAGCTCATCAATATGTGAATGCGATTCAATAAAGGAATGATAATTTGAATTTTTGTAATATAAAGCAAGAACTTGAAAAAGAAAAATATTATTATTAATCCACCCAATTCCAAACCCTCCTTGTATGATCGGATGCACTTGATTTATATTCGCGATTGAGATATCTGCCAATCCTAGATTATTAAAAAATAAAAATAAAAAAAGATAAATAAATAATTGAATATATTTTTTTTAATTAAGATAACGATGCCAAATATCACATGCTTCAATTTTTAAATACTAGCATTTCCATCTATACCGACTTATAATAAATAAATGCTATATGTCTATTTTATTAACTTCAATTTCATTCTATCTAATTATTTGCCCAATATCTCTACTATATTTGATAGATAAATACTGTATTATCATTCTTTTCGACTCCAATTTCATTTTGATAACAATCACAAAATTATTTGTTCACTATCGTTTCCAATCTTACTCGTTTTTGGTATTTTTTTGATCTATTGTCGAGCATTTAGTATCAAATTCTGTAGATTTGTTGATGACGTTTCATAGTATCAAGTGCTAAACTAAAATTTGAAGTAAAGTTAAGTATATATAAAGAAAATTCTTCAAATTAATAATTAAAAATTGACGTACGTAGGTAGCTTCGAAATTGTAAATTAAAAATACTTCATATTTTAATCGGTATTGGTATGATTTTAATTATCATTCTTTTCAACTCCAATTTCATTTTGATAACAATCACCAAGATTATTTGTTCACTATCGTTTCCAATCTTACTTGTTTTTGGTATTTTTTTGATTTATTGTCGAGCATTTAGCATCAAATTCCGTGGATTTGTTGATGACGTTTCATAGTATCAAGTGCTAAACTAAAATTTGAAGCAAAGTTAAGCATATATTTCAAATTAATAATTAAAAATTAACGTACATAGGTAGCTTCGAAATTGTAAATTAAAAGTACTTCATATTTTAATCGGTATTGGTATGATTATATCGATTAAAAAAACTCTCAAAAAAATTCGCAACTTCCATTATAATTGTTAAAATCTACATGTTGACGATTAAACAACTGTTAGGCGTTATATGATCTTTGTATGTACCTTGGCAAATACTCAGCGAATACAACCACAGCAAAAAGTACTAAGAGAATTGTTCTTACAACAAGACAATGTTTTCAAAGCGCCAATATCAAACTGCTGATAAATTGAAAAATCTTAATAAGCAAATAATAAAGAAAGGCAATAATCGAATTAAATCAAATCTTATATAAACCGTCAATTTCAATACTCTTTTCAACTCTCTAAAGGCACCGAGTGCCAACATTTTTTGTATTAAAATAGCCCAAAATTGCAGTGTATCTTCTGTAATATCTGAGCGTGATTCATCGCATATATTAAGCATAAGATGCTCATCATATGCTCGATCGCAAAAAGGACGATGTCCAGATGTAAGTTCCCACATAACCATTCCTAAACTATAGATATCTGAATAGTAGTATCTTAAGTTGTATCAATAGTCGCAGACTTTGGCTGTTATATAAAAAAAAATAAAATGTTATATTAATACTGTTTAATAAGTTTAAAAAATTTGTGACAAACAATATTCAAAGTCACGATCTTAGTAGTTTTTTTATTATTTCTAACCTTATCGTTTTTATTTATATTATCTCCATTGTATATACCATTCTTCAACTCTGATATCAATGTCCAAAATTATCGTTCTACAGTATTTCCTATCTTAGCTGGTTTTTCAAATTCTTATTCCACTCACATTCCCTATCTCTGCTGGGTTTTGACAATAAATGAATGCTATGTGTTCATCCACTCAACTCCAATTTCGTCTCAATAATGATTGTGATTATTTGTTTAACTAAAATTCTAACTCTACTGAATTTTGATAATAAAGTAAATGCCCTATGTTTTACTACAATTTTATCAAGCTAAAGTTTCCAAGACTAAATATCTATATATTAGTGGGGGTTTCAAAGTTAGCAACAGAAATAAGGTGCTTGAAAATCGAATATGTTAAGTAAAAGAATGTGTTTGATTTCACAAAATAAATTTAAACTCACCTTATATATGTAATAGAAGTAAATTGAAATACGTCACACTGAAGTAAATTTACTTGATTTAATTTTGAAACCCCAGTATTCCTGTTTCAATTTCTTATTTTTCTAATTCTACTTGTGCATGAAATATGCTATTGAACCATTCTAATTACTTGGTACAAAAATCAACTTACTTAATGAAGTTTTTACCCCATCATTCAGTCTTTCGAGTCTTGCTCTCATTTTCCATCGATTTTGACGTGGAATACCAGGGCAAGCACACTCATTTGATAAAAGAAATAATACAAGACTGCTAAAATCTATAATTAGAGCCAGATGCAGACAATGCTGCAACTTTTCTTTCTATTCTTTGATTTGTATAGGCTTCATGGCTATAAAGTTGGTTGACCAGTACAGAAGTCTCAAGCTTTCCATTTGTAATCCCAATATCAGCATTATCTTCAATATTGCAATTTTAAGACCTTCGAGTAGAATCAAGTATAAAAGTTAACTGCGAATATCCATCAACAAAACAATCTTCTTCTTCAATCTAAAAATGATTAATTTAGAACAAACTTAATAATAAAGCATTAAGTGAATTAATTATATTAATTGATGATCCTCCAGTCAACTGAAGAATGATCATAGTAAAATGTGACTCAGATTACTATATAA